GGGGAGCATATGGGGAAAAGACACCCACCGGCCCCCCCAAGCCCTAAGTGTCTAAAGTGGAGTTAAAATAGAGGGGAAGGGAGCCGTGCAGTCCAGCTGCGGGCTGCAACTTGTACTTTCTAACGGACTGCCATAAAGCTTATTGTCAGACATTCCACCTCTCCCGGACATTCCAGGAATCTCTAACATCCGCAAATGATGCAAAATGTCCTGGAAATCTGTTGTTCTGCTATTCAGCATTGTTGGGGAAGCTACTTTTAAATGGTAGCTTTTCAAGCTACGAGCTACTTATGATTAAATGTAGCTAAGCTACAGCCAAGCTACTATTTTAATATAGTAGTTAGCTACACTACAAGCTACAGAGAATAAATAGCTAACTACATGGAAGCTATTTCTTCCAGAAATACTTAATGTTTATGCTGTAGGATACTCTTAAAGCAAATTATTGTAAAAAATGTGAAACATGAAGTTTAAATGAAAATCTATAATTTTAACAATGTAATGTGAAATCACAATAAGGTTTCAAAAAAAGTTTCTGTATTTGGTGTAAACCAAGAGTACTTCTCAATTGTTGTGTGAAAATTAAAAGGGTCACAACAACCTCAATTTGTTCCGACTGACTGGTCATAAGTTGGCTTTTTAGGCCTATTTTATATGCAAAAATGTATAGTATGCTGTATAACTAAATTATCATCTTTAAGTCATATTGTCTGGTGGTTTAACTTTTTTGTCAAAATTTTCTTAGTTTATTGTTTTCTTAGTTCAACCTTTTTGATGATGATGATGATGATGATGATGATGAAAACCCTTTATTGCTGTTGCAATACACCATGTCACTAGTCACAAGTACCAGCGAAAAACTGGTCATCAACCCGACCATACATATACAAACATCACATTATAGGGGGTAGACAGGTCAGGAAGACGGGGGATATAGGAAGAACAGAGAAAACAGAATTACATGAGGAGAGAGGAGGAGAATAAAAAAACAGCCCCCAGGAACAGAAAAAAACACCTCAGTAACATAAGCACATGGTCACTACACCTTATAACATAAAAGTCGTGACTTGCAACAGGGGAGGGGAACGGGGAGGTGGAGGTAGCCCAGCATAGACAAACAGCCATCCGGTCCTGCAGCCATAGAGGCTGGTCACAGACCCACCTGTTCACGCTGGGGGTATGAAGCGGTGAATGGATGGGATGGGGGGAGGGTGTCCTTGGGATTGGGGGAGAGAAATGCAAGAGAGTCTCACTGCCTTGTTCTTCCGGGGGAGTTGTTGAATTCAGCAGCGGTCTTGGCCAAGGCCCGTGCTGATTAGGGGGGAGCCAAAAGCAGATAGAATAGGGTTGCTTGGGTTTTCGGATGAGAAGCTGTAATTTCGCAGCTCCTCTAATGTCCACGCTGGTCTCCGCCATCCAAAATCCTTTGCAGAGCCGTGAGCTTCTCCGTGATGTTATCAAATCTGCGGTCCATAGTTACAGTGATGTTGTCCAATTTTATCACAATTTAAGCTGCTAAGACACAAATGGATACAAATGCATACTGTGACTGCTGCGAGCAGTAGCCAGAGCACGAGACGAATGAATGAGCATCTCGTGGGGATGCTAGCGCTGCACGTGGTCGGGGAGGAAACTGTTATACACTCACGCTGGGCAACGCCTGTGCTGCCAGATGTGGTCGTAAAGTCAATCAGTCATCAGTCACATAGGTCGCAAGTGGACGAAGACCTGTAGTATTTTTTTAAAATGTAGCGTTTAGGCAAAATCTAGAGCATTTTAAAAGTAGCTGCGCTACTGATAAGCTACTGAAAAAAGTAGTGAAGTTAGTAAGGTAGTTAATTTTAGTAAACTATTCCTCAACACTGCTATTCAGTGATAGTAAAATTAACCAGCAAGAAGATTTACTGCTGCAACCTTGCCCCAGATTTTACCACGACTCTCTAGCCGCAGTCAACAAATTTTACTGAGCCAGCCACTCACGCATCTTCTTTGCTGCCCTTCCTGACACAAGGCAATCCTCCAAAAGTCTGCGCCTCACTGTGCATCCAGATGTACTCAGACCTGCCTACTGCCATTCCTGAGCAAGTTCTGCACTGGTGGTGCCCCAACTCTGCAGCTAAATCAGCTTTAGGAGACTGTCCTGGTGCTTGCTGGACTTTCTTGGTTGCCTTGAAGCCTTCTTCACAAGAACTGAACCTCTCTCCTTGAAGTTCTTGATGATCTGATAAATGGTTGATTTAGGTGCAATCTTACTAGCAGCAATATCCATGCCTGTGAAGCCCTTTTTGTGCAAAGCAATGATGACTGCATGTGTTTCCTTGCAGGTAACCATGGTTAACAGAGGAAGAACAATGATTTCAAGCACCACCCTCATTTTAAAGCATCCAGTCTGCAATTCTAACTTAATCAACATGACAGAGTGATGTCCAGCCTTGTCCTCGTCAACACTTTCACCTGTTTTAATGGGATAATCACTGAAATGATTGCAGCAGGTCCTTTTGTGGCAGGGCTGAAATGCAGTGGAATTTTTTTTGGATTAAGTTAATTTTCATAGCAAAGAGGAACTTTGGGATTA